CTGTTCGTATTATTGACTCTGAAACTTATCCCAATAGAACTGTGGACTACCAACCCTAGGATACAATCGTATAAGATCTGTTCCAGATCTGTCTATGAAGGTTAGTGATGAGATAGACAAGGAAATTTCTACTCAAGCAACTGGGTAGATTTTGAAAACTGTCAGACATTTCGTCACTGACGAAAAGTAGAGGATGCTATTTGGAACGTCAGATAGTTTTCAAACTCTATCCAGTTGCTTGAGTAACCATTACCTTGTGTGTTCCAGATGTATTAACTGTATAAGATCTGCCTTTTGTGTATATGAAAGGTGAGTTAATGACTAGTTATAAAAAGTTCTTGTACTAACATCGTTATCCGTGATCAGCCCGACCAACAGCGGAGCGACGATGCCGGCAACAGTTCCCCCCATGTTGGCCAGGGCGAAGGTCATGCCGCTGAACCTGGGCGCGAACTCCACATGGACGGCGCGGAACCCTGCCACCGTCAGCCCGTTGCAGAACTCCTCGGCACACAGCAGGGCCACAGCGGCGACCGGATCACATCCGCTCAGGTTCGCCAGGATCACTCCGCAGATCGATGCACAGGCAAACCCTTTGTTCACAGAGCCATCAACAATAAAGAATATTTATCTCCATCATTTCACCATATGTCATGTAGGTAGCAAAAGATTCATATAATAAAACGTCTTGTATGATGAATTACAAAATGCTATAATAAAGGGAATTCTACAATTCTGATGGCTATGACAAACATATACTTGATTATTAGTTAAAACACAGCGCCTTTTCTGAGATAGGGAACCAAGGGGGCGCAAACTAAGTATGTGTGAGTCGGGCTGTTTCTATTGAAAGCTCATTGATAACGTCTATATCTACAAGGTCTGTATAATACGAGGTGCAGATTGGCACAATCTTACCTATGATAACGAATCCCCTTCTTATCCACACCTTGGGAATTTTCCCGCTTTGAATCAGGCGGTCAGCTACAAAGCTTGACGTCAGCATGGAGACCATACTAAGGAGGAACGGAAGAGCAGACAGCAGACCGTTCTAGAGGAGAAAAGGAGTCTTTTTAATGCACTACCAGATATTTCCTGACATCTATATTTGCAGTATTAACCGAGCAGCTTCGGTCCGTACCCATATTGTTGCATGTCACCTACAGGCAAACAGACATAGCTAAGTTCATTAACATAAATAATTTGGACTATCGTTATTACCGCATTGATGTTGAATCCCAACACAGTTTTCATGTAGTTCGGCAGTTGGGTAGTCAGGAAGTAGACTCCCCAGTTCGAACTGAACTGTCCAATGACGAGCGCCCAAACGGCAGGCGATGTGAGCAGCTTCAGCCAAGGAACTGCCGGTTTCTGTCAGACAAAATTTTGTGATCTTCAGTTTCTTTGGCATTCACAATACGTTTACATTACGTATATATACATAAATACTTTTCTTAGACTTACTACACCAATACCAACAGCAAGAGTAACAAGACGGGGTACATTTGACGAAAATCAATTTTTAAAGTTTTGAAAAAATCTTCTACCTGTTGTTCTCTAAGCCCGGTGCTGCCTTCGATGTACTTCTGTTCTTCCTCTGAGATTCGTGGATGTTTCGCGGGCGAGTCATAAGCCAGGAGAAGCCATGCTACCAGCCAAATTGCTACGGAAGCGCCTATGAACAAAAGCCCCAGAAATCTTTTGAACATTTTGAACCATTAGAACATTAACTAACTGAACTATTAAACTGATAAACAGCTAGATTTAGTACCAACAAAAGGCTACTGGGCTACAAATTTACATGCGTCTACCTGACACTCACCAATGCAAAAATTATGACTACTCGTATATGATGTTCTTATCCAGAGATACAAATCACTGACGCAGGATTCGGAAAACACTACAAGGAGCGCAAAAGTTCAGTTTTTATTCTATTACGGTGAAAACTATGACGTTTTGTGAGGCAAAACACAAAGAGCTAAATGAATTTTCAGTACGTGTTCTTACCGGGAATATAGAAGATAGCCTCCCAGCCCAGCTCAGCAGCTAGGAAGGCCGACAGCGGGTAGTTGATGACGTTACCAAGGGGCAACCCTGCATTGTTGTGACAATTAAACAGGATAAACCATATAGATACAAAAGCTAGCGTGAAACAATTGACAGAAGCAGGCTAATTTGTTTATTTCCGTACTGCCATATTGTCCCAACACCTTCATTAATACTACAGTGTGATCCAAGAGGGAAACAAAAAGTAAAAGTGCGCGTTATTTATTACCTATGTAGCAAAATGCCAGAAGTTTCGTCCTTTCGGTAGCAGGAGCCCATCGGCCCCAGAGTCCGTAGAAGGCGGGGAACAGAACTCCCTGGAAAATGTATGGTGAGTAACGTCTGTGGTGAACCAAAGAGGTTTAAAATCTCTTTAGACATAGGTGATCACGAGAATGGGAGGTCTTTGTAGTACATTATCCAACAGTCGCATCAATTTGAATATGAAACGCACGCGCGCTTAGCTTTGGTTGAACTATACATTTGGTATGTACTAGCAAGGACATTATAATGTCCTTGGTAGTAGTATTTATGCAGCTGGCCTATCATTGCATCATTAATCACGGCTTGGCTACAAAATTTTCAGTTTTTACTAGTCTTCAATACAACCACTTCATTGCCAAAAGATCATAATAGGATGTATAAAGGCGTAACTTACAGACACAAGTCCTAGGCTGAACCTGACAGCAAACATCGCCCAGGGACTCGCGCGTGAGGCCACGGGACTGAGAACGTTCAGCACCGCTCCGGCAAACATGCCTGTCCCGTACACTATCTTACCGCCCAGCTTGCGCTCCAGAACACCACCTACTACCTAATCGGAGAGAGAAGACATTTTGGTTCAAACTCTCCTTTATCTGCCTACCCATGAATGACAGCTATTCTTCCAGGAGAGGCTAGAGTACATAAGGACATTAATGTACAATTTAGATTACATTGTATACAATCATCACAAGACATAACGTGTGCTTTACTTATTCAGGCCCCGGCTAATGATGTATTTTACTAGTAGTCGTTTTCTTGTAGTCTCTTCAGCTACAAGACCAACGTTAAATTTTGGTAAAATCAACAGAAAAAAATTATTTTCACACCCTAATTTAGGGTTATGTAACCCTAATTTAGGGTTATGTAACCCTAATTTAGGGTTACGTAATCCTAATTTAGGGTTAACTAACCCTAATTTAGGGTTAGCTCAATTGAACTTAAATTATGGTTAGCTAACCCTTATTTAGGGTTATGTAACCCTAATTTAGGGTTATCTAACGCTAATAAATACTTTTTTGACCAAGTGACAAGAAAAATGAGCAGAGCTTGTATGGAATCTACCTTCCCAAAAACATCAACAGGGTTAATAAAGCCATTGATCTCAGTCACTCACCTGTGTGATGATGTAGCCATAAAAGTAGGCACCAAGTAGAACTCCCTTCACGCTCTCACTCCAGTCCAGTTCTCCTTGACTGTTCTGCGCAATTAAACAGTAGAAAGCTGGCCTGAGTGTCAACCTTTTTAGCTTTCGTCCGCTCCCCACGCTTCGCTACCGGCCGGTAATTTAAAAAGGCTGACATTCGGGCTAGTAGAATCACATTATAACAATCCTAACACACAGAGTAAAAGCTATTACTTAATGGTTTAGCATACATTCGTTGTACATTACCAACGTACCCTCTTATAAGCAGGATATCTCTGGTCCCATGTTTATGGCTGTCTTACAAAAGCCTCTTTGAAGCCTTCTGTACAATGTGTATAACGGCACATTCCATCTCTGTGTGTTTAAGAATAAGATCATACAAAAGTAGTACCAGGATAATATCCCCCACCTGTTCGGAGGTATTTGTCGGTCCACTGCTCGGACAGAGCTGGTAGTTTCCGGTTTGATTGGCAGCTGTCACTGCTGATGAACTGTTCACCATGACGACAATGGCTAAGGAAAATCCGCCCCTGGATGTGATCATCGCGATGTGGGCAAAGAAAAATATGACTGCCAGGACGTACCGAGCCGGGAGTCTGTCTGCTAGCTGTAGCGTAAATAGTAGTTAGTTGGTAGGATCATGGTCATTTGATGATTTAGCCATAATTTGTTTTCTGATTCGACATGTGACCTCAATTCTTAATTGTTAACTCTGTATTGCATTTGAATCTGTATTCATTTGTATATATTATATATATATGTTCTATGTATCTGATGAGCTCTGGAAGATTAGCCCCAACTGGCGCTAAAGGGTATCTTAATAAACCCATTAACTCAGAGGAAACCACACAGATGTGTTCTTGCAACGTACGGTTTATAGACTTGCCCTATAGGACAAACTCAAATCTGTCTGATCAGTGACATGTACTGAATACGTGTCAAACTATAAGTGATATCTTGACACCTCAAGATTGGCATTCTGACATCCCACTGTTTGACAACCTTCTTTGTTTCAATATTTACACCCTTCGCACTTAGTTAGACTTTTGTCCCTTTTGTCAAACTTGACTTGTTATACCCTTTGACACTCACAAGTGTCATTTCACCTAATTAAGATTCTCCTGTGTCTTAAAGGTTTACGCTGTATATTTTCCATATCATTATATTTGAAACTTGAAAGTGATATTCGTTCACCTAGAATTAGTTCACCTGCTAGTAATGGTAGATGCGTGCTTACCTAAGTTAAATTGATTGAAATGCTAGAGGTGAAACGCAGAAACTTATAAGAGTCTAGATTTTAAGATAGGCACACGTGAAAAAAAAGGATTTTCTACATACCCAACAGCAACCTCCTTTCTTCATATCGGACTTCTCCGTGTCACCACCAACACCATCTGATGGAGTCATGTCCTTACTTGTCGCATCCATTTCTCTTTACGTTTTGCGAAATAGACGGTACCTCGCGATCTCAATCAGAAAAATCTCTCAACTTCACTAAATTATGATCACTGCGTCGCATTGACTGTCAAAGGGTACGAAAAGTTGCTATATTATGGGAGACCTAACATGCTGTAACTTTAACTTACGCGTGTGTGTGTATTAGTGGCCAGGCGGTAACACGCCGTCTGTTTGAGTCTCCGCCCGACCTTTTACTTATATACCTAAAGCAGAATGACTTGGCATTATTACTGCCACCTTTAGACCTCTACTGCCAGAACATCTATACCGCCCTACATCACAAGCCATGCAAACATGTACATCATGTGTTACTGATAACAGCAATGCAATGCAATACCAGTCACCTGCAGACGTTTCACGTGACTTCATTTTATATTTAGTCCCACCTTTGGACCACCACAATGGAGTCAGTCTGACCCGTACATGACCGTGTTTGTTTTGTTAAACATCGTGGACACGTTGATAATTTTAAGAACATTGCATCAGGCAAAACGCCTAACGTTACACACTGCCATTACCTTTGAACCAGTGAGGCATTTGATTTAGTATTTGACAAAGTTGGACCTGTCAAATATGTATAGTGTAAAGGCATTATCATGAATTATGCAAATTAACCACTGATTTGCATGCATATGACTAGAACCGCGTGTCAATCATCATTTAAGCTATGTATATACCAAAAATCATTAAACAAAATTGGCCCTTGCAGTCCAAATATAGCTGCTAGGAGGCCCAAATCTACGCCACTTCCTCACGATCCCAAGTGCTACTTACTTTTAGGAATCATTATCATAATATATCAAGAACTTAGAAGATACATGTATCAGAAAAGTAAGTCCCACCGTCCTACAGTTCCTAAGAAAGTCGTTAGGGGGCATAATCTGTAGCCTGGGTACCATCCAGATTTTCGAGCGCTGCGGAGCTAAAATTCGGATGGTACCCATGCCAGGCTACATAATCTGACTAATTCTTTAACTTGCCAACACCAACATACGTTAAAAATCAATCCACAACTTCGAATTATCGAGTTATATTATTCACAAATCCCTTACGCACGCACGCTGGCACGCACACACACACATACACACACACACGCACACGTGTTGTGACGTAGTTTAAAGCCACTTGTGATTGGTGCAATTATAATACGCACAAACGTTGTCAATATTTACTTTGGCTTTGTACAATAGCACAGGCTGCTCATTGTGATACATACTACTTCATTGAGAGGACGCAATAGCTAACAGGTGAGTTATTTGACGCGGTTTATTTTGAGATATCTCCATTTTCTGGAGTTCCATTTTGGTGTATACGGCCCTGTTTTAGGACAGAACGTTAGATGACATATCTTTGTCGTGATATACTGCGATATTTTGCTTCCGCCTGGCCATGACAAAAAACGTCTACTGCGTTATGTCAGGAGTTGTGGTGACAGCATTTATGCGTCAGCAAGAGAAGTTTTAAAGACACATTCAAATAAACCTGAAATTTTTAATCCTAATTCTACATGTTTCTTGAGGTGGTCACCACCTTTAATTTCAAATCACCCCTTCCAATGGGGGATTTCACTCAATATGCCTGGTGTTCTTCAGTGTGTCTAGAACGTGGTTCAGGATAGGAGCACTGCATGTGTTATTCACATGTCACAATCAGGTGTCAGTCAGAGGCAAAGAGAAGTATACTTATACTTGTACAAACACAAATCATTGTGGAAACTCGGGGACGGTGGCGACATTTTAGTAAACAAATGCATTTCCGTGAGAAGAGGGACTTGGTACCAACTAAGCGGGGGAGTAGTTTCCGAGAAACCCTCAGTCAAGTGGCGCGCCTTTCCTGGAACTTCTATTGTATGGATTACTTCCGTGTTAAACATTGACGGACCTTCTGCGACCAGTACGGTCAATGACATCATACACATCGTCGTTGATTGTGGTTAACTACTCTGAACTACTCTTATCATAGTTCTTGAATAGATTGCTAGATCTATTTTAAACTTTCGTTTCTTGTTTTCCTAGTTGACAAAAGGCGCTAAGCACGTATTTGAACAGAACAAAGCTAGCCAGGCGTAGGGGACGTTGACTGTTGACTTGAATGTGTTTTGTTGGTGGAAATGGGCACTAGCTGTATAACCTATATGTATCTTGGAATGGGTCATGTGTTATAATCCGAACACTAGACGTAGATATGGAGGGACAATGCTATACCGAAAGGCATGCACACTTAGGAACATCAGAAGGGGCCTAGTGAAACCATGTATAAAGCAAAGTAATGTGGTTCACTTTTTGAGTGGTGAAGGATTACTTTTATGAGGACACTTTACAAGCACAAGTTTGCCTACAAAGTGAGCTAATAAGAGTCACTATATCTTATCCATGTTACATGTTTATTGTGTTTTGACAGGACTGTACGAAATGAGCACCGAAAAGAGTGTGACGAAGGAACTGATCGGCAGCAATGGGGCAACCCCGGCCCAGGGCGACAAAAAGAAGAAAAGTTGTTGCTCAGTGCGTACTAAGACCTGATATTTACCCCATTGATTTTTTTCAATAAAATACAAAAATACTAGTATTCCGATTCTTTTAAAACATGTCACGATGTTCTTTTCCATCTTTTTATTGATATTGACGTTTATTTGTTAATAATCATGTCAGATCTAAAGTACGTCCTTGTTTAGATCCATACTTGGTATGGGGTCTTTTCTTGTACATTCTTCCTTTGTGTGTTCAATCTTAACCTCAAGTTCACAAACTTGGCGTGCTCGTTTGAGAATTGCTCTTGTCTACTTCAGCATTTGTTGTTTCCCAGTAGATCGCCGACAGAATCCCGGCGCGGTACATCCTGACCGCCCTGTTCTTCTTCGGCATCGTGGCGCTACAGACTACCAGACACGGCTTCAGCGTCGCCATTGTCGTCATGACCAACCGTTCAGCGTCTGCGAGAGCCGTTAACCAAACAGCCATATATCACGACTGCCCGAGCAGCGGGCCTATTAACGTGTCTGTACAGGTAAGATCAGGAGCTAGGTTGTTACCTCCGCGTACGGAGGTATTGTTTTGAGTGGGTGACGGTGGTCTGTCTGTGGTTTTGTGTGTTTATGTAAGCATGTAACAAACTTCATGAACGTGTTTGCACAGGTAAGAACAACAGTCTTAGAGTACGGGGGTATTGTTTTGGGTGGGTTTGCCTGTGGGTTTGTGTGCATATTTGTCCAAAGAGAAAAAAAAAAAAAAACTTAATGTAACAAATTGCACGCTTACATGCACAGAGAGCAGGCGGTGATCGTGAGCTGGGAGAACGTTTTGAGTGGAGTGAGAGCATCAAGGGAACCTTACTTGGAGCCTACTTCTATGGCTACATCATCACTCAGGTAAGATGTCAAACACGTTGACCTATCAAGTGTTCAGATGTGTTTAAAGTTAAAACTTTCGATCCAACACAAAGAATGCTTTGCATTTGATGCTGTGAATCAGTGAAACAAGAGATAAACGAATCTTTAGATCTGGTACCCTACAATATTTTCCCAGGTTGTGGGTGGGGTGTTGGAACAGAAGCTTGGCGGGAAGATTGTGTTCGGGACCAGCCTGATGCTAGCGGCCGTGCTGAACGCGCTGGGGCCTGTAGCGGCAAGGTCCGGCGCCTGGTCCATGTTCGCCGTGCGGTTCTGTCTGGGACTCGTGACAGTGAGCTTTCTTGCTTTCCTTATGCAGCGAAAAACAGGAATGTAAAAATGATACAATCGCGGGCTAAACACGGCAAAAATTAATAACAAACGTTTTTTAAGTAGTTCAATGATTATGACATGTTCAAGTAAGAAAGAAAACTCGAATGAAATTTACTTCCTAAACAGGCAAACTTACTCTAGTCTGTTAACGGTTTTGTCTTAAGCTCAAGTCCTTATAGTGCAACAACAACAAAGTCTCTCCAGATTATATTGAGTTTACTTTTCATCACTACAATATTATAATGCTCCGTGCTTCAGGGTGTTTCCCTGCCAGCTATGTACGGAGTCTGGGGCCGGTGGGCGCCTCCTACAGAACGGACGAGACTGCTGGCATTCTGCTACATAGGTTTGTTTGTTTGTTTGTTTGTTTGTTTGTTTGTTTGTTTGTTTTGCAGCCATGATTTTGGGTCGAACAATGATTGAATGTTTTGCTGTTTATCATTCATTTCAATTCTTCTATTCCAAAACAGCCTTGTCCTTCGGCGGTGTCATCACCTTTCCGTTATCGTCCAGCCTGGCAGATGAGTTTGGCTGGCCTGCCGTCTTCTACATCCCTGGTTTGTGTACAGAATATCCACATTTTAATATCACAGAATACAGTTTAGATCTTCAGATGATATGTTTTATATATAAGGAATTGCTGTTCTGACAAAATCGTTAACAGACTAGAGTTTGTGGTTAGAAAGTACTTTTTCCGTCAAGTTCTGTTGTTTTTTTCTTTCTTTAACACGTATTGTTGTCGAAGTTCTCAAAACGTTTAATTTTTCGTAACTTTGTTTGTTGTTATTTTGCAACAAAGTTACGAAAGACTGCTACACCTGCGCAAATATGTTAACCTAATGAAGATCTTTGTGTTCCAAAAGGTTTCCTTCTATTTTGATTTAGGGAGTTTTGTGGCCGCCTGGCTGGTGGCTTGGGTGCTTCTGGCGTATGACTCGCCTTCAAAACATCCAAGAATTCTGGAGAAAGAGCAGAAGTACATCGAAGATGGCATCGGTATGAAAACTCAACAGGTGGGAAACGTAAAGTTTTAATTTCTTAATGTTGAATGAACTGATATTTGCATGGTTATTAAAGCGTTTGTGGAAGTACATATGTTACTTTTAATGGAGACTTATGTATTTGATGGAGACATATTTATAAAGATGAAAATAACCTCCTTGGTGCTCTCAGAAACTGCCAGTGCCGTGGCGACATGTCCTGACGTCACTTCCTGTCTGGGCCCTGATCGTGGGACAGTTCAGCTCGCTGTGGGGCACATACCTGCTGCTGACGCAACTGCCCAACTACATGAAGAACGTGCTGGGCTTCAACATCAGGACGGTAAATAACAACACAGATTTCTCTATGCTTTTTATGTGCTGGGATTGAACATATCGGGACGGCTTTGCCACCCAAGTGCTTAACAGTGCCTTCTGTGACACACACACACAATGGCAGTCAATTGTCGAATAAAACTAGTAAGTATGAATGCCAAACTGATATTCAACTTTTCCCCCATCAGCTGTTCTTTTAAAAGAAGCAAAAACCGAAGAGCTCTAGCTCAGAAACGAGGCTTCTTTTATCTTTTTTTAACATGGTCACAGGGCTATTTATAAGACTCTCACTACGTTCGAACACTCAAACAAAGTCTTTCTTATAACTGGTTAGCCTCTACCAGGCTTCGGGAGGCGGCTGGAAAGAGAAGAAGTCGGACAAATAGAGAGATAGCATCCCAGGGGAGTTAGTCTGCTAGAGAGTACGCTCGGGAGCGGCAAACAGTTCTCTCCAGCAGTAACAGCTGGTATTTTTCCAAGTAACGTTACATGTATAGTTGATACTAATGATAGCAATTTTTCTATGTTGCTGGTAGAACGGGTTGCTGTCTGCCCTTCCCCCTCTCCTGGCGATGATATCAATGATGCTGTCCAGTTTCCTGGCAGACTACCTCATCAAACGCGGGACTATCCGTAAAGTGTGGATCCGCAGGAGTTTCGTGATCACAGGTGAGGTCTTATGCGAAAAACAAAACGACACAGAGCGTGTCAACGTATGTAATCTTCCTACGCTCGTAATTCTTCCTCGACCATAGCAAAGACGTCTGTCTACTGTGTATGATCCTTCACTCAGAAGTGAAAAAGGATCTGCGTAAATGCGATATTTGAGTTTTATAACGATGCCTCTGGTTGAGATAACAGAAGAAATGTATCACATTGTTCCCATGTATCACAGGCCCTATATGTTCATACATGTACAACTGTCTTAAGAAGCGAGAAGTTAACAAGTAGTTCACATTTAATACTAGTATAGTTTTAGTAAGATATTACTGTTATTTTACATTTGCTTTATTCCTGTATGACCTGTACTTAGCGTGTAAGAGCATAAACGTACATAAAAGGTATTTTCTTCATTGTTGCATCCCTACGTTTACCGCAGGGTTCACCGGCATGGTAATCTGCGGGATCGTGCTGGCTAACCTGGGCGGATGTGACCGTACCGCTGCCGTGGCCCTCCTCTGTCTCCTGCAGGCCTTCAGCGGCACGACCAACGCCGGCTTCCGCGCGGTCCACATCGAGTTCGCGCCCAGGTTCAGCGGAGTCACCTTCTCCCTGGCCAACACGGCGGGGACCCTGCCGGGCATCTTCGCGCCGATGTTGGTCGGAGTCGTCCTGGAGAATGACGTAAGTGGCCCGCCTTATACCCGGTCGGGGCCCGGTCGGACTTATTTGCATGAGCGAAAAATTATAACAATTTATATCAAGAATATACACAAATAGTGCTCATGAATATTCATGTTAATTTTTTTTTCAAGTTGTCTTTAAAATTGTACTTTTCGTTCTCGTCACCTGCCCGGTCAGGCCCCGGCTTGGCAATGCGACTCCAGCAGATGTCATGACTTTGATCAAAAAGCCAGTCGGTAAAGAAATGTATTGCATCCCAAGTCGAGGGGAGTGCCGCGAGCAAATGTTGTCTTACGGAAGGAATACACACTCAGGTTATTTCCTGTCTATATCGCCGTATCAAAATGCGCCTTAAAATGACTCGAGCGTGGCAACTCTGTTTGGAGTGGAGTGCCAACCTCGCGTGCGATGAAGAGACTCACGCTGTGTAAATCTTCATTTTCGATCCCCCCTGTATTGTACAGCCCACGGTTGCCGGCTGGTCTAAGGTGTTCTACACGGGAGCGGCCATCCAGGCTGCCGGGTGTGTCTTCACCGTGGTGTTCATGCGCACTGACGTCCAGCCGTGGGCTCGGGGAGAGGGCGACCAAGGAGCCAAGGTTAGGTCAAAGACAAATTCACATTTCTAATGACCTTAAATTAGACAAACCTCTGATCCTTCAACATGTCTGCTCATAGCTTTTCACCATCGTAGATAAGCAAGAGGTCGAATTTAGTTGATATGCTATTTTAGTGCTAGGTGTAGTGCTAGCTTGCTCATGTATAATGTCTATACAAGCTACTCCTTTGTATACACAATCAAGGTTTAAAACCTCCTTGGTACAATAAAGGTCTTCATTCATTCATTCATTAAGTGATCCAATTACGTCACAATGATCACCGGTTTTATTACATAAATGTAGTGTAACATAATGTATAATGCATAAAAAAGGTCTGGATAACTGAAATAATTTTCAACCGTCTAACAGAATACTGTACCAGAAAACTACAAAGACACCCTGCCTGGAAACGGACAAGCTGAGATGAGTGCTAAAAAGTTCCTGGAGGAGGAAACAAACGTGTAAATTTGCTGTGTGTGACCAGAACTACAAGACCGGCAAAGTCATGGTCAACGTCATGATGTTATTTTTTTCTTCTTTGATGGTGAAACGTTGTGTTGTGTGAATGTGCATATGAGGTTACCTATTTCTGCACATTTATATAGCTTTAATGTTAATGTTGTAATTACTTCAGAGGGTAAAATTAAAAGTTCTGTTTATCAGTAATTTTGACATTACAAATTATTGTACTTAAACCATATTTTTAAAACAAATAAGTGCTCCTTTTATTCGTAAAGCCTGTGTAAATTTCTATTTTCTTGTGTATTCAGACAACCTGGGCATAAGCTTAGCCAAGAATTCTCAATACCCCAGGAAGGCCATATTGTTACTTCAACCATTTCAGTCAAACTAAGAACACACATCTTTCAGCACTGCTGGACTATGCTATGGAGAATTTGTTTTGTTACCAATAAGTATACAATAAAGTTGTAAGATACATGTGCATAATACCTTCCTGATAAATATAATAACACTTTGAGGATAAAATACATGTACAAGCATTTTTTCTGAGTACTGCACAGTATTTACCCTGATTCCATAGATACATGTATATACACACAAAATACTAACCTGTACTTTGAGGACTCACAACATTACTCTTAATAGAATTATCCACACCTCATAAAATAATGACAGCATACATATCATACCAATGTACCATCCTTACAATAAAACCTTTGACCCTCTTATTGCAGATATGTCCTGGTATATTGCAATAAAATGGCATACATGTGAATAATCCTGATATGGTACTGAGGTAAAATGCTGGGTTAAAAGAGTTTGTTGATAATAATACCATACTTCTAAAATATGCTTTTCTACTTCTAACCTAGAAGCTTATGTGATTTCTAAGCTCTTTGTTCAAAACTACACTGTATATGTCCATTGTGGCTAATAATGAGGTGTAACAAACAGAGAGACGTGTCAGAAGAGAGTCCTGGGTAGGGCATCCACACCGATGTATTCTGACAGCTCCTCTTCACTGTAGACAAAGGCAACTTTCTTCCGTGTTCTCTCATCCAACCTACAGGGAAAACCGCAAATCTGGATAAGCAAATACGGATTAGCCACTGACGACTAAATTACAACTGCTATCAACAGAAACAGAAGAATCTGTATTGGTAATGACACAGGCACATTCATCAATGGATGTTGTACGATTTTGATGCCATAGAATTTCCAAGGAGGCTGTGACAGACTTAACAGCCAACAAGCATCTATGACAGCTTTTTCGGAAACAAGAATTTTGTAGCACACATGCCCTCATACTGTGATCGTATGATGATGGTACAACACATTTGAATGGACCTGAAAACAAGCTTCAATCCTCTCAGAAATTTAGAGATATATCCTGATTATTCTACATGTCAAACAAATGTCACAAAAACAAAATCAATTTTATACAAATAATATGTTCTGTCCTTGGTGCTGAATCAACTTCATATGTGCCACCATATAAACAACAGAACCTACTACAGAATTTGATACTTACCAAGGTCTGATGATGAGCCAGCAGCCTGAAAACAAAGTTGGAGCATTGACAATGAGGCACACCCCCAGTCTCTCAGGGAAGTATCTCTGTAGCAGCATGATGAGAGTCTTCACAAACTGATAGTCCATGTTCCTCAGGCTGAAGTCCTTCATGTCGAACAGGACACAGATGTTGTCTATCTCACCTTGGTCAGACATGTTGGAGAGTGTTTCCTAGAAAAATAGAGTCAATACAATTGTACAGTTAGTAAAATTCAATATTCTAAAGCAAAAAACAAACATACACAGTATACAGTTAAACACAGTCCATGAATGGAGACAATTAACAAAAACCTGTTTTCCTCAAAACTACTTTTGCTGAGTAAGATTCACATTTATAAGATGTTTAGAATACTAACCAACATGTAGACGGTGAACTTTGTAAGCACATCCATGTCCCTGTTCTTGGTATCATGAAGATGTACAGTTACCAGAATAATGGGCCTGTTTGAAGCAAAAAACACATGGTTCTGTATTCAAAAACTATAGACAACATTCAACAGCTATCTTGACTCACACAACCAATATTATCAAGATATGTAAATTTACCCAAAGTCACCACCAGTGTAGAAATGTCAAATTTAATATTATAATTTCTTATTTACTGTACTGTAATTATGCTCTGTACCTTCCCATTTTATCTCTTTCCTCCAGAATGATGCCCTTTCCCGTAGCTAACTCAGACTGGATTGCAGGGTCTTCTGGCTTGATGTTTTCTACACCATACTTTTGTCTCCACTTCTCACACTTCACATAAACCTTGTGAGCCTCTGGGACTGTCAGGTGGGCTCTTAGGAACCTCCTTAGGGCCTTGTCAGGAACATCCTGCAGAAAAAAATGTCTTATGAACCTGAGATAATGTAAATGAAAGTTTCACACATTGCAAAGGCTTATCTCCTGAAATAAAGTTCTAACATACATGCAGCTCTCTTTCACTGCAGAAAAACTGGGCTTCACTCCTTAAATGCAAGTTAAGTCTAATAATGGTTACTTTAGGCAATAAATAACACCAGTACAGATTTGCCATGTGTATACATTGCTATTTGCACATTACTCAATTTGCAGTTCCTACAATGACATTAGAAATACTTACCTTGATCTGTTCTCCTGTCTTTGCATCGTGTAATTCAGAAATGAAAAATAAGAAAAAAATCAGACACAGATTTGACACATTTTCACTGCCACTTGCTCCATCATATTCCCAAGGGAATGACATTATAACTGCGATTTATCCCCTGGGACTCTCCCTACAATGAAAATGACCTCAGAAATTGGGAGAGCGTAGATTCTCCAACAATAACAACATAATTGTCTATTCCCACGAAGGACAGAGAACACAATAGCTTACTCATTCTTATCCCTTTTAAATAACACTGATTGCAATTGTGTAATAAAGGAAAACTCCAAATGAGATGGGACTGTTCAGAGAGGGGTGGCAGATTCACAAGTATCGACCTTACCTATATCACATTAACCATAAAAAACAATCAAACAGTAAAACAGAAATTAGATATACACTGTTCAATAACTCAATTTGCCAACACTGCAAATGAACACATGTTACCGACCTTTCTAAGTACCTCCCTGAGTGAGTCCACATTTTCCTGACAGTCTGGCTCGACCTTCTGTCGTGCTTTAGTCCCGCCAGCAGCCATAACGACAGGTATGCTGGGATACAACGATCTAAACACTCGTATGCACCTGGGCAGGATTGCACCGTATCCCATCAGGCACCTGAACCTGAAAGGGGTCAGCTAGGGTCAATGTCCATATATATAGTCCATGAGAATACAATAAGTGCATATCAAACAAGATGCATTATAAGGCCACACCGTCTTAATTTTATGGATGACATCCTCTGAAGACCCCCAAATTAGTGCGCGCAGGCGAATAAAAAAAAAATCCAGCCAAAAATAAAAATGCTACTAAACCACAGGAATACAAAGCTGGTACTGTAAATTTGCGGCAATACATAGCGACGTATTCGACAAGCCGGCACACGCTGGCTTTTTGCAGAATTTATGAATTTGCACTGTACGTATGTACTGACATCTTCAGTCGTGGAGCTTCGGTAGTCGATGTCCGGAGTAAGACTGACTAGCTGAGACTTCGGGACCGCCCAAGAGCTTTATAGCCTCCGCAGGCAGGCTTCTTGGCGGGCTCTTTTGCTTATCCTGTGCTGTTTTCTGATTTATGCTAGTCCTGATTGTACCGGACTTTTAACAGTCATCTAGCCTTAAGACGTTTAGAAACCCACCACAATAAAAACTGATACAAAACCAGAAAATAGCTCATGATTAGCAAAGAAAAACTGCCTAGAATCCTGTTTTGGAGGCTAAATTAGGTGTATTCTTGGGTGGAACCTAAAATTACTGATCCGAACATCAAAGGAAAGGTCATTCAATGGTATTTAACAGCGATAACTTTAAATATCTAGCGTAAGATGTGAAGTGATGTGACCCAAACATCAATTCTATGAAAGGAAAGGTCATTCAATGGATTTAACTGTTTACAGCGATAACCTTAAATCTAGCATAAGATGTAAAATGACAGTTTATTTAAAGGATAAAAATGTATTGTGTAGGTAATTTCCATTCGATTTTCTGTATTTTCTATCAAGGTATTCCTGTGGCTTTTACGTGAATACAAAATCCGTACATTTGTCGACAAAGTATGTCTCTCCTCACCTCACTTCACCTCAACTAACAAGTTAATCACTGGAAGTTAAAGGCTGCGATTATTTGGGTGTTTCTTCCTAACAGAACGCCACTGAAAGGTCATGTAAGGATGATATCCTCTGAAGACCCCCAAACTAGTGTGCGTGGGCGAATAAAAAAAATTCCGACCAAGAATAAAAATGCTACTAAACCACAGGAATACGAAGCATGTTCTGTAAATTTGAGGCAGTGCATAGCGACGTATACGTATACGACAAGCCAGCAAATGCTGGCTATTCGTGAAATTTATGAATTCGCACTGTAGGTATGTATTAAGATCTTGAGTCGTGGAGCTTCAGTAGCCTGAGTATCATTCTCCATAGTTACCTCTGGCTCCCTATTGTCGCTAATTACCATGGACTACCCAGGCCTAGAGCCAGGCCAGAGCCTCAGAGGACGTGATCTTTTTTTTTGTCTTTTGGAGAACAGGCGAAAATCGGCGCGGATGTCATCCATAAAATTAGGTCGGTGTGACCCAGAGTTACTTGTATGGCAAGAGGGGGGGGAGGGTACAAAAGAAGTATGTGAATGTACTCTCATACATGATTGTAGAGATGTTTAAGCTTTTTCTAAATTAGTAGCTTGGTTTGTTAATTTAAACTTAAAAGCTTTGCATTGTCATTTTAAGGATCAGTTTTGCTCTGAAGAATACTGGTGAACATGCCTCAGGGCAGTCATTACAGATGATTACTAGAACAGTTGACCAGACAGACAACATGACTACCTGACATTTGTTGACAGACCAGCTCTTCCATCAACAGGTCAGCAGCAAAAACAAGTCAGCAGCAATAATATTATCAGCTATCAAAGACAGCAGCTTTGGCACCTGCAACAGGGAAATGAAGCAGTCTGGACATGACAGCTCTCTGCATTTAACTGTTAGATTTAACGTTAACACAGTTACATCATGTTATGTAACACAGGTAAACCATGAGAGAAAAAAATGCAAACTAGATAGAAATATTAGCGGTTGCTAATATAGACAGGTTCGCGTTGTAGTGTAAGCTAAATCGGCTAAGATTGCACAACGGACGTGCCCCATGACCTTCGACCTTTTGGGGGTCATGCAGGCGTCAACAGCGCCCTCCCCACGCCTCGCCCGTCCGTTTTCGTGGGCAAATTTCTGCTTTTTTTAGAGGTTTCGGGACCTAAAAACTCACACCAGGGGGAGAAATAAGCCACATACGTTATTTTCATGGTAAACATCGCTAAAATGGACCAGCTATATCACACCGAACGGCTTGTTACACTCAATCTTTGCACATTTGATTGCAGGAGTTGTTTAAAGTTGAACACACCACAGCTTCAAGGCCACATACTCGCCGCACATACTCCTGTTTACCTGAGGGAGTATCGGTGTATGTAGCGCCACAAGCTGTGTCCTTGAGAGTGCTCAGACTGCCAACTTTGGCCTGAGGTTATGGCGAAGGGAAATGAGGTCACGGAGAACAGAACAGATTCGGTGGCACTGCGTTTTCCCTGTTTAGACGGGAATACGAAGAGATACAGAAAATGTGCTGTGTCTCAGCCCTTTCAATGCAGGATGATTTGTTTGAAAAATCTCCGAGAGAGGATAACTAAACAACCATTTGACGGGTCGTCGTGATTTTTTGTATGTAGGTAGCTTAAGTGATGCTTGACACAATTAAACTACAATTATGCAAATCAGGATCTAACTTTCATAATTAATGTGGACATTCTATAAATCTGCTTTATTCCATATTAGGGCTATGAAACACTTTTGACATATGTAATTGAAAGCGACAAAATCATTGGCAGATATTGATTATGTAAATGAAGACGTAATTTGCATAATTAATGGAAGAATTGGTACAATTTTATGTTGGTAACTGCTGGAGACATAAATCGTCCGTCTTTGCTCTCTTCCAAGGAATACCACTATCACTTGCCTTAATGCATATTTGTTAAGTGAATGCGTGGAAGCTGTAAGTATAAGGTATGGAGAAGTACAACAATCATCCTCAGGTAAAGTGAAACATGGTGCTTAAGCTCTTCAAGTCAAGTATACATTGCGACTTCGTCTTCACTTCGCGCGCTGATAGTGATTATAACGCAAACCCCCTAGGTCCGCTGCGCTCGTACAATCGGCCTGTTCTTCTAGTACTGCATGGGTGCCATCTCTTCTGTAACGGGGTGGTTCAGGGTTAAGTGCACTCGGGGAGTCCCGTTACAACACGAATGGCACCTATTTATATAATATCCAAGCAGATCATTCGGTGGCAAGGCAGTATCCGATTTGGCCAGACGAGTGTCCATGGCTGTCACTGTATGATCTGATCAGAGATTACGCATCCAGGCTTATAGATCTGATGAAAACCACAATGGGTCCGGGACAGATGAAACGACGCGTACTAGTATATCTCTCAGCGGGTAGCTTCCTTATGTTATGGTCATATTTCGAAACGGCTTCCGGTCGAGCGGTTTTCGGGTCCGACAAGTATGATATGGCAAACGATAACACGCGATCAAGAAACAGGCCAGAGTTTTGCATCAGAAATCAACTTCATTTCTCTAGTATCTGTTACATGTGATTAAAATGTTAAAAAAGATAATTTCATACGAACACATACCGTAAGTTAATGTTTAAATTACAAATATGCTTGACTGTCTCATGTTCTCCAGCAATACAGTTTGTATATGTGTAAGGAGCCCCCCCTCCCCCGATTGTACGCTAACTGTATACTAGTATTGTGACTGCCATGTTTTCGCAAAGTTGTGTTCCACATCCCTTCTGTACGCCTCAAGGACACAGTTGACCTTGCAACCACTGTACGTCTCTCAAATTGATAGAGGCCGGGTGTTACTGTAATGACAGCCGTTCGCACCGGAAGGAGACCGTTTGTAACCTGTAATTACTCACAGCCAAGGTTCGGTAGTCACTATGTTCGGCAGTGTTGAACCGGATAACTAACAATGTCATGATTGTAAGACGAATAGCAGGCGGCGCAAGAAGGGAAAGCTTACCTCCCCATTCCGGACATGGTTTGGCCCACATGTCGATCCCTTCCTATGAACAAACTATGTGTATCAAAGATATAGGAAATTGGAACGCTATATTGGGAGGGTTCCACAGCGTCAGAACCCGGTTCACCAAAAGGACGTGAACTCGGTGACGTTGACCTGAAAGGTTAGTAGATAATCCCTAAAGTGAAGGTTAATCGGAAGGAACGTGCTTTTTTTCTCACAGGCTAGCCTGGCACGCTATATTCCAGCGGAAAGCCTTCAAAACATGACAGATTTTATCCAAATTGAAATATTTTGGCCAATCCGTTATTGCATTTATAATAGGAAAGAACAAATTTGTGTACGAATTTGGGTACAAATTTGGGTACGACTTGGCGACCACCTGTTCTCTAGGACGCAGAACTTCACTCCGAGGGCCAAGTTGGCTATGACTTAGGGTCTGGTACTCCGCGGGGCTGGAAAGGGACTTTCTAATCCGAAATCCCCTGCCATTCAGCCCCCGTCTATTGTGGACAAAAGAGAAGACGCCAATCAACCATCTGAACTAACTTTGGAGGCTCCTGTCACCCTCGGAATCATCACAGTTAGAGAGGACAGTCCGGAGGTCTCTGACCCGGGTCGTGACCCGTTACATCTGTAATCCTCACACAATTTTCGTACTTGCGTGTGAATTTTATGGAATTTGAACGAAAACCTACGGCTCTAGGAGGTTGAGATGTTACCGACTCCATGATACCCTTCCTGCACATATCTAACGGTGGATCTCCATGCTCGTGTTCACCTCGGAACTACTTACTGTACTACCCCTCAACTTGGCCTCGGGGCCCGGTTTAACTGTATACTGTAGGTCATGTTCTTCTGGCTATACAATTACGNCTGGCCTTTTTACGGAATTTTATCCGTTCTGTACGTATGTACTGAGTTCTTGAGTCGTGGAGCTTCGGTAGCCTAACCCAAATCACGATAAGACTGGATACCAGGCTAGACGGTCGTTTGTTTTGAAGCCTTTTCGTTCTAAATAGCGTTTGTTTGACGTCTGAATCTCGCTGGTTCATTGTCGGCAAGGATCGTTTAATTTCTTACTTGTAAATCTTTTTAAACATTGTGGTTACATAATCCGTTGCTTTTCGTCTGCCATATCCTCTGTTTTCGGATAATTTCTACTGATTTCCAGAATCTTGCCAAATTCTATTGTATGGATAAATTCTGTGTTTTAATCCCCGTCTGAACGGCGTTTCTTAGAACTTATTCTCAATATACAGCTGTGAATTATATGATCATTTAGTATGTTTATATTTAGTCGCATGTTGAGTCTGTTTTTATGCTGCCAGTCTCACGTGTATAAGGTTACCATTTCACTGCAGGTGCACCGTTAGGAAATACAAACAGTGACAAGGTCACCTTTTTCTGACCTATGGAGTTAATTGCTTGACCTCTCTAATATCTTCGCTTTGGCGCACAAAATATTCCCAAACTGCAGAGCTGTCAAGCGCCATTAATCACAAACTGACTTTGTTGACGGGACCTGGATCATTGAATCTGGCCTTTGATCGTTCAATGTATAGAGACGGGCTCCACGCAGCTGAAATGAGTCACCATTAGAACATGTTGAGTTCCAATGCTAAGCCAACAACACATTCTGTTTAATTGTCAGCAGGCACTTTTGTGAATCCGCTGAAACTTCTTTGTATTAGCTTAAGCCAGCTTATGTTTTGGATATGGACGGCGCCGACGTCGTCAGTGGGCGGTGCATCGATAACTGCCAACGGGGCGATGACGATGTGATGACGATGCCTCAATTTTATTTTTCAGTGTCCCTTGGTTGGACGTTACAAACATCCTCGTATTTCTTCTGCAGGTTGTAATCTTCCCCACCGACCTCTGCTTGGAGAGCACAGATCGTTCACGTCAAGCCGCCGCCGGACACGCCCTCATCCTTCGAGGCAACCGATGTCTACATCCCCGGTCCTGAGACATCCGTTCCCGATCCCGATAGAACTGTGGGCAGGGGCCAGAAAGTGAGCCTGCGCCGTGTGCCTGGTTTGTACACCGTTATTTTATTGAAACCGATAATTTTTCTGTAATTTTCTTTATAGAAAATGATTATTTTTCTGTTATTATTTCATATTAAACGACTAATTTTTTGTCATTAGTTTATATAGAAAATGACTACAACACTTTGTATTAGCCTAGTAGTTGTATGTATGTATGACAGTATGAATGTATGTATGTCTAAGTCAAATAGTGCATCTTTTGTCTCCAATTTTCTACATATGTCTGTAATGTGTATGTTAAGTCTTGACCTGTACCTAGCCCGTCGTGGCATGAATGTACAATAAAGGTATTTCAGATTTCAAATTATTACCTTCGCCAAGAAGGTTATGTTTTCAGTAGCGTTTGTTTGTCTGTTTGTCTGTCTGTCTGTTTGTGAACAGCATAACTCAAGAAGCTTAATATGTATTGTCATGAAACTTGGTAGGTGGGTAGGTCTTGATGAGACCTAGAAATGATTAGATTCTGGGCCCCCTGGCGGCTTTTGTTGGTACTGCAGCAGAACTTCCGGTTTTGATATCTCGCGATCTGGACATGCTAGGGTGACGAATTTTGGTTGGTAGATAGCTCTTGAGGTGGGGAAGAAGTGACATGAGTTTGGGCCCCCTAGCAGCTTGTTCTGGACTGCAGGAGCGTTTCTTGAAAAATCTCCGAAGGTTGATAACTCAAGAACCGGTTGACGGATTGTCATGATTTTTGGTATGTAGGTAGCTGAAGTGATACTTGACATAATCAGATGACAATTATGCAAATCAGGAGTTAATTTGCATAATTAATGAGGACA